ATACAATATATGCACAATACAATTAGTTTTTATGGAGCTGATATTTTGTAAAATTCCATTTAAACTCTTTTTTGCTTTTAATCATTAACTTATCTTAAAATAGCATCTTAAAAGTCACCTTAAGTCATAATCCTAAAGTCAGTCACACTGAGAATCGAGTGTAATTTATTTTTAAACCCAGTTTATTTCTGGCAGAGGTTTTCCCAATTATTTAATTCTATATTTAGATGATCATAAGTTTAATTAAGTTACCGCATTTAATAGGATTCTGAGCGAACATAGTTACGTTATTTGTTGTTAATCGAGTATTATTGATAATATGTCTCTACCAGCGGTGACGACTTTCACTTCACGATCAACGAACGACTGGATTTAAGTAAACAGATGCAAATATTCCAAGTAGGTTACTAGGCTATTGTAGGTTCCTTGAAAGTTCTAGAACTTGGTTCTAGTAACAGGCTCCCCCCACTATATGGGCCCCTCCACAGAAGGAAAACGTGTTCCTACACGTGTAATTCCTTAGTATCATATGAATGTAGTTTGTTAAGGCATTGTATGTTATAGAATATATAGGTAATACTTTTATATATGACTATTACATAAAAGGAGGAAACTATGAAATAAAAAGATATTTCTCTATCATATATTCTCTACAAATATCCTTTAAGGTAAAATAAAATTATTTATACAGAGAGTAGAATACGACAGTAGGCTAGTTCAATAAACGAACGTTTTAGAGCCCTAAAACGGTCGTTTGTTTGTTTGTTTGTAAAAATATTTTAGTTACCAGCCATAAATCTCATTCTTAAACGTACATAAGACACATATTTGATTCTAAACTGCTCTTAGATTTAGTTAGGTAGAAGAAAAGTTTTAATTAAAAGTTACTTTTCAAATGTTGACACGCTAAAAATATATTTCAAAGGTTATTGATCTCTTAATTATGTTGACTAGATAGCGTTCTCTTTTTATATAATCACATATGCGAATTCATTACTTAATATATATGTGGCCTTAATATATTTCGCAACTGTATGTATGTTTTTATAAAAAGTGCCGAACACAATAAAATTTGAGCCAATTATGTTATTAAAAAATAAGTGCAAACATTTAATTTCATTTAAGAGATCATTAAACTATAATAAAATTCTGACAGTGACAAATTTTATTACTCAGTAGGGAATCATTTTTTTTGTTACGATGTTAATGTTTTAGTGATATTAGAAGTTTCAAAATTACGAACATTTGAAAAACTCATAATAATTCTTCCATAGCATGGTTCTACTACAATAAGTTATTGTGAATTCGGAACCGGATACCACAGTGTTTCAAATAAATGAGAATGTACCTCATCCATAATAATCATGGGAAACTTCGATAAAAAAAATATTTAAGTGAATATTTATTACGCATTGTTTTATAATTGTATTGTTATATGCCTATATTTTTCCGGAAATATTATTCATATTTATCCAATTAACAAATTTTTTTCTTGGGAAATTATTAATTAATTAATTAAACAATCTTCATATTTAAATGGAACATGCAAAAATTGTCATAAAAAATTATTATATACGCAGAGAACAATCAAATTCCCACATAAAATATGTAGGTATATACATAATTATCAAAGTCTATAATTTTTATTGCTCTTCAATTGTTATTTAGGGAAAACAAAAAACAATTCTCATAAAATACGTTAACATAATTTGTTTCAATAATAATATTTTATACAAAATAAAATAAGTGCCTACTCTTCGAGATTTACATTTTGATTAATATATCAAAAAAAAAAATATTATAAGAACAAGGTACTTTTAAAGAAGAACTGTAAAATACTTTGAAAGGTATAATCCTAAAAGCTTATTTTATTCTTAGATATCATAATCGTTACTTATAATATAAATAACGATTTTGGGAATTTTGATTGAGTTAAATATCATAAAACTAAAGTCTCTTCAATTGGGTCTTGCGGATAATTAAAGATTTAAAAAAAAAACTTTATGCACGCTTAAGTATTTCATATTTTAGTACAGAGCAGGCCAAATTGAGGTTCGCTGGCCACAGTATTTTTAAATTTTATTTGCAAACATAACCAAACCTATGAGGTTCAAGAAGGAGTATTATAATTTTAAACTTTTGTAATCCCAAATAAATTGTTTGAGCAAATTGTTTCCCTTTCTGGTACCAAGTTTTTAGATCTCTATTTTTTCGAAATTTAAAATTGAAATGTTTCGGGTTTGTATCTGCTTACATTTTACAATAACGGAGCAAATGCTAGATTTATTACTATTACATAAACAAATCCAGTTTTACATATTATTGAAGTAATTAACAAAATTATTATGTAGTGTCTACACTAGAGGATTTAGTAAGTATTCTTGTATTTTGACTGGTAGGGCAAAATTTATAATAGAGATAGTGACAGGATGTGCTGGATTTTTAAAACGAGATGACATCGATTGCCATTATTCATTTTTTCAGTGCATTATTCAACAACAACATTTATGTGAAAATCTTTGCCACAAATGAGTGCTATGAAAGTTGTTGTTAGGATAACCAACTGACTAGAGGTGGAAACATCCATCAACACAGTTAAAAAGATTGTCTTTTTAAGTATAACTTATGTAATCTATAGAGATTATTACATTCAGAAATGGGATTTCTAACTATTCGACATTGCTTGCATCGCTTTTTCATTTTAAGAAAAGAAATAACTTTATTTCTAAAATAATAAGAAGCATCTGAAACCTCAGAATTACAAAATAAAATGCAAAATCTTCAGTTTCAGGCTGATCTTACATTCTTAACTGATATGATGCCACATTTGAACGAACTGAATTTAAAGGGCAAAAAACTTAATATAGCCAGCTCCAACGGCTATAATATGGATTTAGAATCAAACTGGAATTATTCAAAACCTCTCGAGAATAAAATATTTTTTTCCAGTTTGCATAGAACATTAGAAATGGAAAATCTAGTATCATGAATTTTTTCGGACCAACTGAAATACAAGAACAAAATAATTGTGGAATTTTACAATAACAATTTCTTCTCTCTTTTCACTCATCCACTGAAAGTCGCAGTTGTAAACACTACATATTGATGTACATCTTTACTTTTATTTTGTTTTGAAAAATATTGAGGTCGTCTGATATATGTAGTAATTTGAATTTGCCCTAGAACTTATTAGTCTGGACAGTAATGCTTTAGTAAATTCTGGTTCAAATGAAGAACTGCTATAAATGAAGAAATAAAATAATTTTGTATTTTTGTGCATGCTAATGAAAATGAATTTCGCTATTATGCAGAGTACGTGTCATTTTACAAACAGTTGCTTCATAAGCTAGTGTTATCAACTGTGTAATTTGAAATATATATTTGTAAAACTTATGTCTTTCATGTTTAATTTACAAACGCCTCCTTGACATTAATTCGTAACTAAACAAATATTTGTATTTCTTTGATCACTTCTCAACTTAGCACTTGATGTCTGTGGAATTCTCTTGTGTTGCAATTACATATTTTGACACTGTACTTGGTTAACTGACAATTCGTTTTTTGATTTGCCTTAACTATGATTAAAATTATTGTGAAATATATAATCTTTTTAGATTACAGTAACATGGAATTATTTTAATTGTAACTGTATTTATCAATTTTTTTAAAACCTTGATTTATTCTAGTTGAAAACAACGTAAACAAGAAATAAGTATCATATGTGTAACACGCGGCCTTTTATTAAAGATAGCGTGTTATCTTAAAAGTAAGCATTCAATGCTAATCATAATAAACTTTGAACGGGTAAAAATGCTTGACTAAGAAATATGATACGGCTTTATTATTTCAAAACATTACTAGACAATATTAATTGCAAAGTATTATATATTTATTTATCCTGATTGTACTAGAGTCTGTGTTATATTTATTTTAAGTAGACATCGATCTGTGGTTTTTAAACTTAACTGAAACTTATTCAAATCCTATGGTCGTTCAAATTTGACACAGTACATTAATTTAATTAATATCTCGGTGTTCTAGACGATGCGACTAAAAAACTATGTCACGTACTTTACCTTAAATAACAAATTATCACTGCTTCATTACAAACTTTTTGACTGTTATCTGACCTTCAATGTTTTGCAATCGATATTGGTGATAAATAAATTGGTCAATGATAATAAGAAAATACATAGGAATTATCTGTCACCCATTATTGACTGTAACTTGTAAAATATATATATTTTACATACGATAAAATTTATATGCTATGTGAAACTTATAAACCCAAATGGGTAATTAATTTCGTATATATTAATATAGAATTTTTGTTATCCCTCGCATTTGAATATAAAAGTGATAAACATATCCTGAGCAACATTGATAGTGTAAAGGACAGAACGTGTTAAATATTTTCTTAATATACGGAAGTTTTCAAAGATGAAGAGCTTAAAACATGAATGTTCCGTACAAAACGGCTATATAGTCTACAGATGATAAATTAATGAATCGAATACGAAGTTGGTTTGTTGAGAAAGATGCAGACAATTGCAACCAATTGATTTTAATTGAAACGTATTACATGCTAAAAATTGCTTTTATTAATAAAAAATAATAAATGAGAATTAAAAATAATAAAATTTTATTTATATATTCAAAAAAAAACTGATATATGGCGTTGTTGCATAAATCAATTTGGGGTTCCGAAAATTTGTAGCGATATGTCAAATATGTAGTTTTAATGTATTTATAGACAAAAAAACTAAATATAACGATTTTTTTATTTGAAAGCCGTCTAGCAATATACTTTTGATTTCAAATTATTTCATAATATTGCATGAAAGGAGTTTAAACTAGACTTTTTAATTAGTTCAGGCTGGTGCTAAAAAATGATATACCTTCAATGAAAGACAACGAATTTATCTTTAAAGAAAGTTACATAATAATCGTTTTATGTGGCTATTATAAATATATGAAAGTAAATATTTTAAAAAACTTACCAAAGCGGCACATGTTGATTGAGAAGGAATTTACAGTGCAAGTTATGTTTTTAAATTCCAAACACACCGTCGTCCTCGGCAACAATGGAAGCACATTATTGTTGCTCTGTCCCAGAATTTTTCTGTCTTTAAAACCCGGCGTCATTTTGATTGATGTAATACGTTCAAAATTCACAATCCTTCACTTCACTACTATTAAAAAGTTCTTAATGATTTAGAACCATCACTGTTTTTATGACTGAATCGATGCCTGGTGCCAACTCCACGTATCTGTAAATATAAATGTACGCGTCAACAAACAATTGCAATTAATAGAATTATTGATGATTTAAGGATAGTTGTTTTATTTCATTTGGATATATTTCTGTGTCGTGTGTCATTTGCATTTAAATGTATTGATGAGTTATCATACAACAGAACTTGAGAGCCGTTATATTTATTCCACTTGAGACAGATGTTCATATGGAACGTATTATTTTAAATTTACTTAATTTATGTCGTCAACCGGTTCGATTACTTGGCAAATGCCTAATCTCAAGTTATGGTAATAATTTTGCTTCCCATAGGTTATCAATAAATCTGTTTGTTTTGAGTTTTTCTGTTCTTACTAAAATAATTATTTTGTAGACACATTTTTATATGTAGATTTTCTTAGGTATATTATGAACAGATGTTACATACGCACTTTGTTTAATAAATATATTGAGGAAATACAATAAAAAATAATTGCCTTGTCACATATTAAGTTTGTTTTCAACATAAATTTCGAATTAGAGGACGGTATAATGTACGTATGACGTCATCAAGATCTGTAGGTATCACATAGAATCAACACGATGTCAATAATAATAATTAATTATACTTAAAGTTTCCATTCTCATATTTATATGTAACGTTAAGAATAAAATCAAGCCAACTCAAGTGACATAACATAAACTATATATATATTTTTAGGTGACACTATAATTGTTAGTATGTGAAAACCGTAAGCGATGCCAAGCAATTAAAATTTGTTTGAAATCAGACCAAGTAGCGTAATTATACAAACAGAGTTGCGTGATATTAGTAGTTATAGTTTCCAATTGTATTGCGATTTGCCAACTCGTTGCCCAATGTCATGCATTGGTAAAGTCAATATTATCATGGCATTGCGACGAGCCCTTGCAGATTAGAATTTGTCGTAGAACATTTTATACTGATTTATGTAGCTTGTATTATATTTATTACAAATAGTTACTCAATTATAGAAACAAAAGTCGTTATCAAATCACAGCGGCCCTCGAACTAAAGGGACTTTTTCAAAAGGAATTGTCTTTGAAAAAAAAATTACTACCTTCTCTTCTATATAAATAGCAACTAGTAGGTAATAAATGAGCCTTTTTTACTGAATACACGATTATGTCCTTATTGTAATAAAATCAAAAACAATAAATATTACGAAAGTGCAAACGCGTAATAAGTACTCAGTTATTTATATGATTGTCTTGTATTAATTATATGTAAATTATCATTCATAATTGTCTTATCATGTGTCACTAGCATCTGTTTAAAATTCTTACCTAGAACTGATATGACACTTGGCTGTTTCGACCTTTGTCTACGGTTAAGGACGAATCTATAATAAATGACCATTAAACACATCATCAACGTGTTAATTGATAATATTATTTACGATCTGTGATTTTGTTAAATAAAAAATACCGTTATAATTAAATATAAGTAGCAAAATTATTATATGTCAGTAACATAAAAATAAGATTATTATTGTAAATGCATAGTTTACATTATTGATTTAATATTTTAAAAGGTTTCTTTTATTTTTTTTATATAAAAAAGGTTTGATTTAATTTTATTGCAAATTTTTCAGGGCATATTAAAGCCTAATGTATATTAAGTTGTGTTTTAACTTGTTTGTACCCTAATTGATATTATGTATATCTAAATGTTTGTGAATTTTCTGTTCTGTGAATTAAATTGATTATGAAGGAATACGATAAGAACAAATTTAAAAGTCTTAGATGTCTGGAAAGATCTTTGAGAACTATGTCAACACTATTAACAGACAAGTAAAAGACACCGTTATATAATAACACTACTTGGAAACATTGGTCGTTGAATATATAAAGAGTGAAATTTACTATAAGAAAAATTTTATATAAAATTATTATTAATCACAAATCCTCGAACAAATAGATTCACTGCGTGTAAAGAGGCTAAGCGTATGATAATGGGTAATTAAAAACTTATCGAAACAATTATAATTAAACTGTAGACATAATAACTCTGGGTTATTAATAAAAACAAAACGTTAGAAAGCTTAGGTATTAGTTATAGAGAAGATTATTCTAAAGACTGTTTTCTAAAAAAAATGTGCCATAGTCATTGCAGCCGAAATATCGATGGAACAAATAAATGTTACTAGAGAATTTTAGATTATTTGAAAAAAATCGATGTATTTTTTTCAGATCTACCTAAATACAATATAACATACAAATTGATGCAATAGTTTAGTGTGCTTGAGAAAAAAATCGACTAATATTCACAAATAAAGTGTCACACAAATTATTTTCAGAATACTTAGATTTTATTAGAATACACTAAACTTATATTCAATATTATGATAATATATCAGATAATTTAGATTTTAATCTCAAGGCGGGAGTTTTAAAATATTTAATAAAAATTCATATTTACATTCGCTAAGATAAGAAAACAAATCACTCGATATATATGAACATAGGATTCAAATGTTGCTCACAATGTTTATATGACACACTTTTTTGTTAATAAATTGCGTAAGGAATATTATGAAATTGAAGCATAGTTATATAAAACCGATAGAGACATAGAATTTTCACTATTTATGTAATTTTTAAAATATGTCACCTAGACGTGACAATTTTTTGTTAAACTGTAAAATAATATGAAAAAGTATAAGTAAAAGATACGAACATTAAGATTCCGTCACTTAGTCATCCGGCTTGAGTACTTTTCCGGAACTCGGAAGTAAACACGAGAAAGTAGGGCGAGATTAAAGACACCACACGACCGTTCAACATGCGTATTCTGAGCAGACTGCTCACTACGGAGCCGAGTGTCCGATAAAATGTATCGACCCAAGTAATACCAGTGGTGCGTTGTATGAAACAAAGTTTATTTTCAGGCGACTGCAGATTTGGATTTGTTTTTCCTCGTTTTCACTATACGAGTATAAGTCACACTATTTATTTGCTGTGTTTGAAGAATATTTTGATTTTATTTACTAAATGCTTTAAAAATATACATCTTCATTTTTTAATAATTTATTAAGATTTTTTAATAGTTTATTACGATTACGAAGTTATAATTGCTATAAAAAAGCCCTAATCGACTTAATAATAGTGTAATTTTGTCTAAATATAAATATTATATAGTATATATTTTTTTTAAATATATGTAATATTTTACTATGTATATTAATTTTCAAGTACACTGGATGAGTAACGGGAATATAATGAAAAGGACCAATGAAGGAAGATTTAATTGAACAAATAAGGAACAAAACATGCAAGTTAATGACTGATATATTTCTATTACATAGAATAATGCTAGAAGATCTCCAGCAGTGAGATGGCACAGTATAATTCTACTTAGTTTGTTGTATTGTAATCACAAAGGAATGATTTTATTCGTGCCTTTAAAAGTTAGTTTTTTTTTTGTAAAAAACGTCGCACGTACTTAATTACACATTTTCGATAGGAAAGTTATAAAAACATTTTTTTTTGTTTGTAGTTAACACAACTATTTAAAATTCATTAGGTGGTTAGAATGGTTATTGTTACCTAATGAATTCTCTGAAAATGATGCGTGATGGTTTTTCCCATTGTTCACTTGTTGAACCTAACGAATTATTATGGATTTAATTTTAAAATTTTGTTACTAGGAGAAAAAATGTATATTTTTAGAAAATCTTATACTTTGCAGGCCATTTTTGTTTTGTTTTCACTATGTTACTATCATGAATAACGTTAATGTCTTTAAAAAAAGTCAAGATTTTTAGGGTATATATAAAAAATATGATACGGAGCCTTTTTTATTTTAATTTCTCCCGTTTTTCCTTTTTATTTTTTGAAATTTTGTACTTATAATAAGGAGTATGAAGCATAAAACATTTTATTTTCTTTCATCGAATGGACTGAAGAAAATACTAAAGTATATTCTATTTATAACATCTGGCAGCCAAAGATGTTTTGCATAAGTCAGATTATGTTGAGCTAAAAGAGAATGAATTCATAGTTTGAGATTAACATTGTAATTTGTTATCATACTTTTAATTGGACATATGTACTTGAACATAGAAAATATTACTTTATTTTCTTATCCATTTTCTGTTATTCTATTTAATTCGACGTATGAGAGACTTAGGTAAGAAGATCTTCGTCTATTTAATAGCAATTTTATTTTAAAAACCTGTCTATTATATATAATATATTAAAATAATAATGATTCGGTATAGTGCTTCGGCGTGATTAAATGTGTTATATAATATTCAACTTGCTGTTGTAACAAAACGATTTTAGGTAAAATACATTAATTAATACAAATTTCTGAACAAAATATATTTTAATACGTCATACTTATTTTTAGGCACCATGAATTTTTAGTTATCTGAACTCAATGCTCTTTAATGTTTATGACGCACTGTAAGAACGCAAAATATGTCACGCTTTTGATTTAATCTGTTCTATTATTGGTTACCATATATTTTTTATATCTTTAAACGTTAAATAAAAAATATTGAACATGTTTTTTCTTGAGGCTGTTTACCAATTATGTATAATATATCATCGTTTAACGTTTTTCACAGTTTAAAATTTCCATCCTATTTGATGTTTAGAAGAAATGAAACAATATGTTAGTTTTATATATTAGAATAGAATTATTTTGTAGTTATTGACTAAGTGGAAACTTTTAACGCTAAATATAGACAATCTTGGAAGTGGAACAGTTAAATGATAATTGGTTTTCAAGGGCAAAGGCAAAACTAGTTATCATTTTCATTGAGTATAATTAATTATTATCAGATGAAGATATTGTTAAAAAGATAAATGTTTTTAAGTTAGTACTGCAATTTTTAAAAGTCACTGACGTCAAAGTTTATATAATAAAAATGTATTTGATTAAAACTGTTACATGGATACAATTTATATGTACTTATATTCTTTACTTATATCTACTTTATCTCTTGAAATAATTAACATTAATGATAATTAATTATTTTAGTACATTTATAAGGTGTGATCGGAGAGTAAACATAAGGTATTTAATGAAAGGAAATTCTTATATTTACAGATGAGGTGAATGATGGGATTGCCCTTCTATAATTCACCTTGAAATTTATCGATAAAAAAGTCGACACCACCACAAGGTCGTCCTAGACAATTAGTGGACATTGTTTTAAGGCAGATCGTGTAACTTATTTAAGGTTATTGAGAAAAATATGTACTTCTTAGGAATTTAAATCTGGAATATGCTTGCTTAAAGAAACAGAACTTTTTGTAAATTAAAATTAAGAATATAATAAATTTAATCAGAAACTTATTTCGTGTAAAATAAATTATTTCTGAGTGAAGGGTAATGAAGAATATGCATAAGTGCATGATTCCTAATTACGTATTTATACATATTATGTACTGTATATATAACTTTTATAATCGTTAGTCTTAAAATAGTAAGTTTTGAAGAAAAATAAGGAGATAATTGTGTCAGATCTTTATTTTTCGAAGTATAATATACATGATAAATTAAAATTTCTGCGGAAAATTGGTTTACATTTTTCGAACTATCGGGCCGGTGGGGACTTTCCAACATTCAATAAGTATCTTGTCAATTTTCCTACGCAGGTTTTTGACAGGAATATATTTTTAAACTATTATTGACACCAAAACAAAAACAGAATTAAGTACAATTTTTATAACTGTGAGTATATCTTTGCACACTTAGAACTATCTCAGAAATAAACACAAAAATAACAGTAAGTATTTAATAAAATTTAATTTTATATTAAATATTTTTTTTACAATTCCCGTTCTTTAAAATCCTTGAAAACGAAAATGGAATGCTGTTTTTAAACATAATATTTATATTTTATTTATTGGTTCTTATGTCAAACTGTTCTCGAACTTTTTTATTTAATATTTTTTTTTATATTGTAAAGGAAAAAAATGATAACAGAATTGCTAACGTTAAGTAATATGAACTTACAAATTACAAATTTTGCAGTTAGCTCAAATGAAAATGTTAAAGGAACCATAGTTGATTGTGTTTGACTGCATTAAAAATCTGAATTCACTAATATTAACCATGAGAGAGAAAAATCTTTATTATTTTTAATAAATGTTACTCACTGATAACACTTTTAAATTAGTTTTGTGTTCTAACTTCAATCTATTTAGTACACTATTATTATTTAGCCGTCATCTGTAACTGTTAGTTCTATTGAGCTTAGCGGAAATATTTGTATTACGTAAATACAACAACGAGCAAAACAACGACGTCAAATTAGGTTCATATATAAAAAAGCTAATTGATCATTTGAATAAAAACATTTTTTTAGATTTATGTGGGATATATTTGGCTATATTTCCTGATCAATTAACTGGATTCCTATAATTAGATATGTATAATCCTTCATACATTTTTTGTAATTTTTTAATGATTATTTGAGGTACAAAAACGAGTAAGAAGTTAAAAATTTAAACATAAAAACCATGGCTAGTAATCTGGCATCAAAAGCCTTCAAAAACAATGTGAAGGTCAAAGAGTCAAAGTGAGAGAAAGTGAGATGAGTATCACTTAAAAGAAAGTTTCTTTTACTTAAATATATAAAGCGTACAATGAATATGGGCGTACTGCTAATTAATATGCTCGTCGTTGTAATACATTTGATTCACACTACCAAGGTCGACTTTTATCAGTCACGGACCAAGGTTTGTGGAAGTTTATCGCATGTAATCACGACTACAAAAACATTGCGTCTCTGAAATGTACCGTTAGATTTTTTATAGAACATAGTTCTGTTATTTTTTTATTCATTGATTATTAATGAAGTTTTTATTCTTTTTAGCATTTATAAATAAACATAAACTTAAGTGTTATAATACTTACTATAAAAGATTAAAAGTTTAATTTTAACCCACTCGAAGTCAACCTGTCGTCCAATACTTTTGAACCTCAAATGCTCTAGAATTTTACTGTTACTTGTTTATAATATCAAACAAATTTTACGTCTCAAACTTAAGTGATTGAATGAGACTTAGCTTTCATTTTACGATCAAGAAAACTTAGAGAGTAGAGACCAAATATTTAAAAATATTGGCATAAATTATTTAATAACAAACTCTCATACTATCTATGTATATACAAGTATCTTAGCTACTTTTAGTTGCCGGATAAGAAAATCTGCATCATTCAATTTAAAAATGAAATGTTCATAGACTAATATTTCCTATTAAGAATAGTTTTGTTGATGACTAATTTTTATAGCCTTTTTTTAGCTTTTCCGTTTCCACATAAAGAGATTATGTCACTATAACTGGTTTTTCGTATATGATATTAAAAAAAGTGATAATAAAATTAATGTTAGAACTTTTGTTTTAAAGCAGGTAGTCTCAAAATTTTATTTTAACCAGACAGAAAGCAACATTTTCGGCCAGGAACTGAAACACAAAACTAATAATTAATTATGTGAAATATTTTTTTTATTATTAAAAGTTCAATAAAAAATGTAAAAATATTTTAGAGATTCTTTTTTCATACTTTTAGACCGATGCGGTGGGAGTCCATATGTTGTTAATTACCTCAGAGAAATCCAAACATATCTACAATGCACTCAAAGGGCGGTTTCGTAACAAATAACAATGTTTCAATAAGAAAATTGTTTTTCATCACTGTAAAATCTCCCTAACCAATATGAAAGTTAGATAATATTTATACCGATGATATAATATTCAATGAAATCTATATATTTATTGCGAAACAGGATGGGTTATCATTTGCATCCTCTTAATCAGATTGAGAGTGCTATCTGTTGGTCCTGGGTCCATCGGATGTTGATATCAGCGCCTCTAATTATCACAAGTTCACTTCATATGACCTTAAACCTCTTCAGCCAAGGCTGCCATGAACAAGATATTTCTCATAACTTACATGTTACAAAACGAAACATTTGTCAATGTAATAATTACATAACTTTTCGGATATTACAAAAATCTGACTATTTTCATTGTTATTTTTATTTTAAAGATTTATTTATGTATTGAAATTTAACCTGACAGAATTAGTTTGCAGAAAACATCCTTAATAGTGAAAGGTAAGATAAGAATAAGGTATGTAAATTAAAACAGTCAGGCCGGTGTTAAGGGCGGGGTTTCGATCCTGGCAAGTACCAATATGATTTTTCCGAGTCATATGTACTTTCTAAGAGCATTTAGACACTACTGACAGACGGTGAAGGATAACATCGTGAGGAAACCTGGACTTATAATTTCACAATTATAAGTTTGAAATCACCAACCAACCCATCTTGAGCCAGCGTGTTGATTAATGCTCAAACCTTCTCCATGTGAGAAAGAGACCTTTGCTCAGCAGTGGGCTCTGATAGGCTGATGATGGCAATGAGTAAATTAAAACATAGAGTTATAGTAAAAAATAGAAATCTTTGAACATTATAGTATTTATCGAAAATATATAATTAAAAAGAGACTGACAGTCACGTTAAAATATATTAATGCTATCGGAATACATATAAACGACGCCTTATATCATTCTTACAATCGTCAGTATACGATTTAATAAAATACTGAAGATTGTAAGCGTCATTTACGTTTTAATGAAATGTCAAATTCAATTAAATCTTAGAATTACAATAGCAAATAATGGACGTATTGAATGAAGGAGAAATCAATGAATACCTACTATAAGAAGGAAAATGAAAACATCTTTATTACTTTCCTCGTCTGAGATCATATTGCAATAATTAGCACTTTACAAATCAATTTTAAAAACAAATAAATATTTTTATCTGCTGAATTATGTTAACATTCATATAATTGATTAGTAATTTATCCATTACAAATATATGTTCAATATATGAATATTTATCATAAATGTGTGACCCTTTTTTGTATTTGTAATTTGCAATGGTACGAAATAAAATTGTACAAAGGAATATATTTCTTTTCAAACTTTTAAATACCTACTTTATTAAGTCTTTATTGAGACTGGTTTTATTTTTTATTAAAAAAAAAATTAAAATAAAGGTTATTGTTTCGATATATAAAATTATATACAAATTTAATTTCCTTTAGCTTCAGCCAACTTACTTTGATATCGATAACAGGCCTCAATCTGTGTTCAAGAGTAAACATTTATTCTTAATTAATCAAATTTATTTGTATATTTAAATATTTTTTTTATAATTTAATCCTTTTATTCATACAGAAAATAATACCTGCGAACTTCCACATATAAGTATTTTAGAGCATATTCGTGAAACTGCTATATTTAAACGGACGGCGTTCTGGTTATTAAAATATTGAAAACATAATTTATACAACACGTAATACGTATAGTGTATAAATATGTGTATATATATACAATATATATGTGTAGTGTTAAATGTTCAACAAATACTTTTAAAAATAATACCATAATATTTTATGTTTTTTAAGGGAGGAGAAAACATCTAAGTACATATTTAAAAGAAAAACCATTTTCGATATTATGATACGAATAAGTATTTGGTGTATAAGAATAAAATTCTGTTAAAAATGTAATCAAATTTTTACCCTGTCTTAGTCTCTGAAAGGTCTTTAGCTTGAAAGCCTGTGGCTTTAAAAATCCCATTTTAAGAAGAAAATCTGGATTAAAGGGAGGAGGGGTCAGTAAGTTGTAGCCTAAATTGACTAAATTGGCTTTGGTACGGTAAAAATCACTTTTTACTTCTCTAAATACGACTTCTTTTTTTCAGAAACACAAGCATGGTAGATTCTTTTAATCTTGTTGCTCCCACTAAGAAGTCAATGTGGATCGTGCCTTGCGATTCCGAGAAAATGGTGGCCACGACCTTTTCGGCCGATACAGCAAAATTCGAATTCTTTGACTCTCGTTCACACGGTATATACCATTGTTCCGACTGTCGTTTTGGTATCTGGAAATAAGCAGAAAACGACACTTGAATTATTCCGGATTTTATTCAAACAATGCTCCTAAAAATCATGGTACCGCTTATTATTCGAGGTGAACAAACGTGGTAAAACTTAAGCCTACAACTTACTTGTGATAAAGGTTTCATTTAGGGTATGACCCACGCTGTTTTCTTTGTTAAGATATGGCTGTAGCTGTTAGCCCTATCGCCTTTGACAGTGTCACTGAAAGGACTGGATGGCCCGATGAGACCTACCCATTAAATTAGAACCAGGAGGGCCCGAGTAGGAACGCCCATCCCACAGGTTCTAAGACGCCGGACCTAAACTTAGGTCATTGATGAATGGCAGGGGACAGGTCCCTTGCCTAGGTGCCTTCTTCACACTATTTCAATAGGCGATGATACTCGTACAAAATTATGGACTTTTGTTATCCATGTTATCTGTTTACGGGCCATCTGGACAACGCCCATCAAAAACCAACGTTCGACCACGTTGAAACTCTTTTAAGGAAATGATTTTCCAAAATCGGATGAAATTTTAACATGTTTTCATTCGACATTATCACCAAAAGGCTCTAGGACTACTTAGTCGTCGGACCGCTTAAGTTAATTTTGGGATATTATCTATCACCGTTGATACGAGAATACTTTACCAATTTATTCTACTACTATAAAAGATTCAGAATAATCATCTATATTTATTAAGATTCCAAATCTTAACCTTACAATTTGGCTATATCATATATAAACATCTATTGTCAGGACGCTAAAATTTGTTGATAATCACTATGGACATTATTAGCGACCTTTTTAATTTCACCCGTATAAATGTAACTTCCTGATTGAGGTGACATTGTTGTAAATAATTTGAGTTAATTCGTGACCCCAATAATTAAACCGAGCTATAAACAGAGTATGCCATACTCTCATTTGTAATCTTCATGGTACCCTGTAATGAAGTTGAATTCTAGCTTTTAACTATTTTAGTAGTGGTGGAAATAAAAAATGAAGTGGGTTTTTTACGTTCTCGTTTTTATTTATATGTTCTACAGAACAGGTATTGTTTTTATAATTAATATATTATATTATAGTTTTAACGTTTTATTAAATATATGAGCTTAAAGATCAATGAAAATAAAAAAAATATATTAATAATATGTCAAACTTAAAACTTGTCTACACTTGTATGATAATAATAAGTATATGAATATATTATGTTGTTATTGTATTTACAAAGCTAAAATTCTTAATTTTTTTAGTATCGTACACGTACCATATTTATAGTTAAACCGATTTTTGATAAAAGTTTCATTGATATCATATTTGTTATTTGCTTCTGTATAATTTAAACAGAAGATGTACATAATTATTATAAATCTATTTTCAGTTTATGGTTTTAAAACTATCCGAAAAGAAACCCAGGGCCTAACAATTGAGCCGATATTTTATGGTCCAGATAAAAATTATTTTGAAGCGGGGACTCGCAAGTCAATTACATGCAAAGGTGCAAATAAAAACCAAAAGGTATCAGAAATTTTAAATATTATTTATTTAACTTAATAATATTATTTTTTATGTATACCTATATTATGCATATTTAGTTTCACCATCTAAATATCATATTCCAGTTTTTTTTCCTAAATACCTTTTTTACTAATTATTTCCCCACAAACAGTGCCATCTAAAGTTATAAACATTATTCATCAGTGATTGAAGGAAGTTATTAAAACTTTCATTTAAGTTCAAGATATTTGTAACAGATGGCAGTGTCAATAAAAATTTTGATTTACCATAATTTTAACTAAATTCACATGTAAATTAGTTATTGTTCTAACAGGTAATGCTAAATAGTTTTATTAAATGTATAATATCTAATACATATTTATATTAATTAAGGTGTATATTGATATAATATTCGTAAGTTTAAAGAATATCTCCTATAATAATGGTATATGATAGTAATTTTAATAATCTCACATAAATATTTATAAAATGATCTAGAGTTTTCCTAAATATAGTTTTCCAATAAATTATATAAAAGGAATTACAAGTTATTTACCGTTCACATCTGGAAAGTAGTTATTCAACAAAACGTTTTTAAAATATATAATATAGGGTTTAATATATGTATTTAAGAAGCACTAATCAGTTCATAATTATCTTTTCTTATATGTATTTAAGAGCTAATCATATTAAATACATTTTTATCAGGTAGAATGGATAGATCCATCAGGAAAAGTAGTGCAACGGTTAGCGACCAACAGGGTTTTCACTCAGGAGCATTTCGTATCTACCTTCAGATCTAGAGTACCAGCAATGGTGCTAATTCTTACCAAAGCAACAGTGGAAGACACCGGAGTGTGGCAATGTAGATCAGGAGATTTTCGGCAAAACGTTTCCTTATGTATTATAGGTAAAAGGTTTTGTATTGAGTATACTGTAGTATTGTATATGATTATAATTGAACATGAAAAAAACAACTTTTGAATAATTCTCTCCGGAGAACTCAATAGGAGACCGATGTTAACATTGTTAAAACCAAATAATAATCTAATAATCGATGATTCAATTTGTGTAAAGTTAACATTTCTTAAAAATTGTATTCCTGTATGAAAGCGCATAATATTATGTACCTACTTGCTATAACAACTGAAAATTACATACATATCTTAAGCATGAGTGTATTTATTTAATCGACGTACAGAGCCATCAGAGTTTCTGGAGACTCCAACAGAAGTATCTGTGGATCGTGGCAGATCCATAACCTTATCCTGTCAAGCGAAAGGGGAGCCCGAACCTCGCTTGGTATGGTACAGACACGACACTATCATTAGCGGTAAGTAAAGATTATGCGGTCAATATTATTTTTATAAAAATTACGTAATATTAAGTCAGTGGTGGCCTAGTGGTTAAAGGGCCCGCCTCTCGTTGCCGAGGGCGCGGGTTCGATCCTGGGAAGTACCAAAGTGATTTTTCCAAGTCATATATACTTTCTAAGAGTATTTAGACACCAGTGATAGACGTGAAAGAAAACATCGTGAGGAAATCTGGCCTTTTATTAATATTACGTAAAACAAACATTTGAAAATGTATTTGTAATTAACTATCAACTTTATTCTACAGACTTTTCTTATATTTTTTTACAGATGATTATAATCCATCGAAGTACCAAATAATGACCAAATACAACAGTCAGGGATTTGAAGGTTTGCTGACAATCACGTCTTTGGAAGGTGAAGACAGTGGTGTATACAATTGCTTCGCAATCCAAGAAAGCTCTTACGTAGATGGATGTAGCGCGAGCATCAGTATGAACATCACATTGCATGTTAACTGTGAGTTAAAAAAGTTAGATTTATCAAACGATCAATGTCAAAAAATATTTCTTAAGCCATCCTATTGCAATACCCAAAATCACAAAAAAAATATTGTGCTGTTTATTTGTTAGCTCAGAGCTAAGTAATCAAATTTTCGGCTCAATTATTATGATGAAAGATTATAAAACTCATAGCATATCTTAAGTCTAGCGCGACACATCTTATATATATATAAAAGAAAGTCGTGTTATTTACTCCACTTATAACTCAAGAACGGCTAATCCGATTTAGCTCAAAATTGGCGGGGAGGTAGTTTAGAGCCAGGAGAAGGACAAAGGATACTTTTTATTCCGTTCGACAGCATTCCCGTGTGACTTGACATGAAACGTCGGTCGCTATAAAACGTGGTATAACAAAAAATAATCAGACTTGGAATAACAAAACGCAATTGACAGCTATGTAATTGACGTATAACGACAGATATGTAATGGATTACAATTTGATATTTGTTAGAAATCTATATATATAAAAATGAATTCCTGTTCTTTAGTCTCACTAAAACTCGAAAACGGCTGAACATTAAATTTGACAACTAATATGTCAATCATTCCGTCGCACTTCAAATTACGGAGATTTATGGCTTAATGGTGAACTCTAAAAATATAAATAAAAAAAATAACTGATATTTCTTGATTATAGAGCGATACGAAGTTCGTCGAGTCTTCTAGTATTTCTATAAAGAAACTAGTTAAACAAAACTGTCTTATCAGCCATATATTATTTACACCTATTTAATTTTATTCAATAAATCTATAAGTACCAACAATTAATGTTGAAATAAGAATCATTTAAGAAAACTGATGTTCATTAACCCAGCATAGAACTGTGTGTGAAAATAATAAATATGTTAAACAGACCTAAATATATGTAAAAATAAATAAGCGCTCAGTGATGTTTGAACAGTAAGCCTGAACAAGTTAGGCAAGTAATGAAATGGCATCGAGCCAAGTCAATTGCTTAGCTGTTTGATCAAATGGCTAAATATCATTCATACCATGACTTGAACGGTGCTTTGAGTGAAGAAGATAGAACGTTATAGTAGTTAGCTGCATACATATGTTTAAATATTTTTAATATTGGAATATAAATTTTATGTTATGTTATATATTTATGTTATTAGAATTTCTATTCAGCTTATGAAGTAAACAGTGTATACACTATACATTTCGTAACTAATGTTAATCAGTACAGAATATAATCGGCACACAATTTCTTAACGACTTTTCAACGAAATGGTAGACGATGAATGTTATTCGTACCGTTTTATTTTAGATGCACCAACATTTAGTGATGGCAATGATACAACGTTGGTTCCTGTGCAAGAAAAAAAGGGGTATGGATGTTTTATCACAAAAATTGATAACAATTAAAAGAAAAGTATTTAATGAAGTCAACTACATATAATATCGTAAATAATTTTAGGACAGACTTAGAATGTATCGCCGACGGATACCCAACTCCCACCTACAGGTGGTTTAAGGAAGTTGGGGATATACTGTCAGAATTTCCATCCAGCGATATAAAACTGGAAGACGACGGTGAAAAAGCTATTCTTAGTATAACTGCTGATGAAGCTACAGTCGGACAAAGATATAAATGTCGCGCTAGCAACAAATATGGTAGTGCGGAGAAATCGTTTGCTGTTGTTAAACTAGAAAAACCAACTAGGCCAACTGAGGTAAAACATTACTGATCTTATTACGTGATGAAAAACAGTTTTGTTAAGTTTAATTTGTACTAACACTATATGGATCTACAATATGGTCTGAAATAAATTATTATTATTATTATTTTTAAACCTTATGAAATTATCTGTACGTTATTCTATTTTTAGATCATTAGCGGGGATCACGATTATGACACGTTGAATCTTATTGTGCAATGGGATGACGAAATATATTTTCCAATTGAAGGTATGATTATGTTTAAATCTATGGATTAATATTTAAAAAATATAATCATTCATATACATACATTTCCTATTATATCGTTCTCTAGAATTCCAAATTCAATATATTGAATCAAAATTACTGAGAAAAAAATCAGGCAAACCAAGGGAAGTCGACTGGAAAAGATCTGAAGAAGTTTTGGTAAAAAATAATGAATTTGGTGAAATGGAAAGCGAAGGGACCGGTTTGTAACGTTGAGACATTTGAATTAAGTCTGTTAGTGACGTAACAGAATTATTTATATTATTTTGTAATCCTAGGTATGGTCATTAAATTAGCTGACTTAAAAGAAGAAACTGAATACTGGGTCCGTTTCAAAGCCGTTAACGAGGCTGGAGAATCTGCCTGGTCGGAACCTATATTAGCTTCAACTATCGCTAAGCCTGAAGAAGACGTTGAAGTACCAGAGGAAGTTGAAGAAACGAATGAACCCACAGCTGATGCCCAAGTATCGAACGGCACGTTCTATGGTATATTCTTTGCTGGTGGTATAATAATTGTTATTTTAGGTGCAACTTTTTTGATGAGAATGGTTTAATTGTTTCATTGCTTCCATTATTTTGTTAATAGTGAAAAAAAAATGTGGTTTGTTAATGTGAAGACATTACAATTTTTTTTTTACTAAAAATTACTGTTCTGTTCTAATTATAATTATATTTTATGTGACATAGATTAAAGAAACTTGGAAAATAAATAAAAGTCATTATTTATAAACCACCTTTATTGCGGGCAGAATTTGTGAAATTTAACAATGATATTATAGATAAACATGCGAAATAAATAATAGATTTTTAAACTCTATACAAAAAAAAAATTTTGGCCATTAGTCTTTGGTATGAAAAACGAACTTAATTTTACTATTTCACTTAGTTAAATATAAGGATTTTCCCTACGGGATTATACGCTTTTAGCTAAATTTAAATAAAATCTGATATAGGTTTGCCATACGTATACTATATAAATTATAACATCTAATTTAACAGAAATTTCCAAATTCAGTCTTCCTGTATACGATATTTTTAATTGAAAGACCATCTACTTTATAAAATTGACGGAAAATTTCGACTTAATGGACAGTATGAAAAATAAAAACAAATTTGTATATATTAATTATATATGAAATAATATTGTCCTGATTATCCTTAGAATAATAATCCCATTATATAAAATTAAATTAAATTACTATTTATTTATCTTTTATGGTAAACATCACAAAGAAACATGTTTTAAAGAAAAATAATTATATGTACTTATAGTGGAAATAGGACTGGGTAAAGATATAATTAAATATGTTTTTGAAATATTTGAGAAATCGTCTACAAAACATAATATATATGTATAATGTATATATTTTGCCGTAACAGCCTACATTTAAGAACAGTTTAAGCTAACATTATTATTTACATTGCAATAATTCCAAAAGCTGATGAAATATTCCACAACAATTGTTTTTGCTTTATATATCCAATATATTTTTATTCGAAACCTTACAAGGATCACTTAACATGAAACCATTGAAATTACGATTAATATTAATACTCCAAATTAGAATAAAAAGCTTATTAAATACAATTTAAAGATCCTTCTGGTAAATTTCAAATTGAAACGAGACATAATTCTTCAATATCGATTTGATGTTAGAATGGAAGAAGGCATAAAATATTCTTACATAATAATGACGTCAATAGATCTTATTGTCTACGTTCATATAAAATAATTAAATATTACTTATTAATAAATAAAATATAGTAATTTATTTCAATGTATGACCACAAGCACACAACTATCGCACACAGATCAATAAAAGCGAAGTCAAAACGTGGACGCAATGTGTTGCTTTTTGCAAAAAAGGGAACATTTAAAATATATAGATGACAAAATTTACCAAGAGTTAAATGATTGTTAATAGTATATAATAAAGATCATCATTTGTGTCAAATAAGTAAATATATATTTGTAAATAAATTTCTTAATAAACAACTAATACATCTCCAACTTTATCCACGAATATAACTTCTAGAATTTTGTCATCTACATTACTATATAGCTGGATAGGAAGTTATTATATAGATTCTAAGGTAAACATTATGACATATAAAATCGAGTTCAGACCATTGGAAGAGTGAACACTTTCATGAATTGAAACAGACATCTTAAGCTATATCTTCTATCTATAAAAGCCTGGTATGCTTTACTTGGAAATAATACGTTTAAAATAACAAATTTTAATTTTCATTATCGACAAAATTATGCATAATAACCAGACCAACAACACAATTTATTTACAATTCCATAAAACTTAATGTTGTTGTAAAATTTTGAACAATGTAGACCACCAAAATAAATCAACGTGTTGCTGTCTGCTGAACTACTTAAACTAAGAATGATACTCAACATATAAAACCGAAAATTATTTACAATTCATAAAACTAACATAAACGTAAGCTGGAATTATTTAATAACAACGCGTGATAAACAGTGTAACAAACATTAAAATAATCGAGGCGGTGAGTTTGATGGCGAAGTCTGTAGTTACAGTTGTTGAGAGTTCAACCCATTCAGAATAACCGGCTGCGTTGCGTGTGCGCACCCTCACGTGGTACGTAGTTTCATTTTGCAATGGTCCCACAGTAAACAATGATTCTGTCATTTAAACATTATATTTTATATTTATATATATTTTAAATTTTAAAAATTGTAACATTTAGTTTCGAAATACGTTTCATTAATATTCCGATGATGCAAATCTAAGACTATCTCATCTAGTTATGAATTATGATCATCTCACCATTGTAATTTTCAAAGTTAATTTCAAATTCTGTGGCTGCTGCCCAATCAGGCAAATATCCTTCCTGTGCGCGAACAAGTTGGAAAGAATACCCTGTAAAACAAATTAAGACATTTTAAATTATACATATTTATAAAATAAAATAAAGACTTCAAACTATCAGGATAAATTAAAGTTACCAAGCACAGTTAGATTCTCGGGATCCTGAGATTTATCTTCTTCTTCAATCGCCATATTGCAAGTTGAGCAAGATACGTTGAATGTTAATTCTGTCTTTGTACGTGACGCCAAAGCGATCTAATAAATAACACATTAATTATAACAAATCGATTACATAAAATAATGTTAATCCAGATTTGAAGTTGTTATTCATCGCAAAAAAAATAATAATAGGCATATTACTTACAAAGTCGGGTGGATTCGGTTTATTGCCCAAGGACACGTGAAATACAACTGAGACGTGTCCCTTATCATTCTTCGCAGCACATTTGTATTCTCCGAGATTACTCTCATTGTACATTCGTAATACTAGCACAGAGCTCGTACCGTCCGCTGAATGAATCTGGGGAATAAAAAAAAATAATTTACAAGCTTTTCTAACTAACATTTCAATTAAACGTCGATGCGATAAAAAATTTCTTATCTTTGTTAAGGAAAGGAACTTCATTCGTATTTATATGTTAGGTACACTCAACCAATGCCAATTTTTCATTCATTACAAAATTAATACTTATCAATATGTATATACCATTTAACAGTTAGTGTTAAATATTTAGTTAAAACAAAATAAATACATACGAAAGTAATAAGAATTAAACCGGTGATTTTGATAGCGATACAAAATATTAAAAAAGGACAATAGTTGCTGGAAAAAAATATAATATATGTTAAAATATTTTCTTACAATGTTTCCAACGATGTAAGAAACTAGAGAGGACGATGTTCGAGAAATAGTCAACATGTTACTTATAAATTATTATTATTAATTATTATCTCTAATTAGCTACATAAAAGCTTCATACATCGTTTTTTGCCGAAAAAGAATTATTAGAAGTAAATTGTCTATTATTTTTTTATATACTTATTCATACAGATAACACTACATTTCCACAGCCTCTGAAACCTAATTCGGACACTCGTATTCGTGTTTGTGACAAAAATATGATAGTAATATCAGTTACCGTATCCTCTTCATTAATGGGGTCATCGTCGAAGTTATTTCTCCTCCTAGACCAGGTATATGTTGGTGGTGGGTAAGCTAATGCGCTGCATGTAATATTTTTTCTGAAAATAATGATTATAATTAAAATCAAAATACGTAATATGTATGTATTAAAAACCATTGTCACCGGGAGGGTTCATTGTTTAATTTGAGGTTTAAAAAACATTTTTTTTTAAGAATTTCAGTTTCGTAAATTGAATTCATCTCTACATTGTTCGAGAGTTTTTAATAACAATAAGTGTAAAGTAATTTTATTATTTAAATCATGTATATCAAAGAGTTGGCTGATAAAATATTTCATAAATGGTAGATATTGAATAAAGTCTTAAGAACACTGATAAAGTTGAAAACTGAAAGTTTTAGACTTACGTTTCATTCAAGATGGCGTAAACTTCCTCAGTTCTGTATTTAGTGTAGTAAACTTCATTGGTGGCTTCATTAATCAGAATAGGTTTATCTGAAATAAAAAGTCTAGTATACAATAAATATTAAATATTTCTTTAGTTTGCATAAAACAGCTAAAACCACAAACTAATTTATATATACAATTTCTAAATCAGTATGTTACAGTCTCATTTGAATAAATGTATTAAATTATAAGTAAAATCCTAATAAAATAAATAGGAAATATAAAATTACGCATTTCATTCTATGGCATATTATTAAATTCTCACCAAGTTTTGTATAACTTCCAATGAAGTTTCTATACCACGGGAAATTTCCATATTTTAATGAAAATAGGTTTGCAAACATAAAAATATCGAACGTAGACGGTAGAGTAAATTTTATTAAATTTATACATTCATAATTCTGCAGAAATCTTAGGACAATGAATAGTGTGATGTCAGATCGCTAAAAATATATTTCGGATGATATCGATACGAAATTCATTTCTATATTAAATTATTATCTGTACGTGATCTTTAATGAAGCGATAGTCGACACCATTTTTTGCGTGACAGGAATATTTCTGTCTTGCATAAAGCCAGTCATTTATATAGTTTTTCCTTCCCGTTTTTATATATGAAGATCCATAAAGCATCCGATGTAATAGTAACGGTTAAGATCTTGGATTAAAAAAAAACTGTATATATAATTAACTAGGTAAAAACTAGTTTCATTCATTCAGATTATTCAGTTATTGCTTGATTGAGTAAGAAGCAATCATGGGCATAAATTTATGGAATGGGATTGGATGAATTTTAGTTAAAACGGATCAATAGGGTAAAGATATATACTGTACATATATATTGTAATGTACGAGTATATTGATGTTAGCCCTGGGGCTTTCACAATGCTGACACCAGCCCGTTACAGATATGTTACAAATCATGAAACTACTCACGTTGGACAGACAGCAGGACACGTTTGTAAGTATAGTATGAGAGTGCCTTTTGCGTTACTTTGCACATATATTCGCCGGTGTCTTGGTGTGTTAAATTTTTGATTTCCAATTGATAGTTGTTGTCTTTTTTCCTTACGATAAACTTCTTGTGGTCGTCTGAAATTAAATAATACGTTTTTGTGAACTTTGAAAACTATAATTATATACTTATAATATTAAGTAATTGTTATGGAAAAGTGATGTCGTATGTGACTGGTTTATATATATGTTTTATTGTAAATATATGTATATATGTTTTGTTGTAAATGCATCATTTGATTTTTATTTCAGGAAAAATGAAACGAAAATGGACACTTCAAGAGTAATTTTGATGTAAAAAAAATTATATAGGTGTTTTTGTACTTCAAATATACATACCGACAATCGAAACGGAATCCTTATACCATTGAACAACCGGTGCTGGATATCCCTTTGCAACGCAATCCAATTTGACAGATTTTGTCTCTTCACCCTCCAGGGTCTCTTGCCTCTCACTAAGACTTACTTTTTCTAAGGCAAAATATAATGTTAATAACAGAGAAATTTAAAAACAAAAAATATATATATATTTCGTTTACTCCTATAAATCATCCCTTATTATGTAAATCTCATTTCAAATGAATTCTACCTACTTTAAAAATGACTTCCATTGTTTAATATTTATTATTAAGGATATTTTTTTTGCTAAAATCAATTTATTGTATTTCTTATATTTTCATATTTCCACTAATAAGGAGATTCTTTAATTATTGAATGATCATTATTGTATCCATTACTTTTTGAAGTTTTAAAAAACATAGAACACATGGATTTTTATAATATAAGGGATAAATTAAGAAAAATTATAACTTCAAAAACATTTGCTTGAAAAAACAAAAACAAAATGGTGGGATATTTTTGATTTCTCTATCACTTCTTTTTAATACATACCACCACACACATAAATACATACCACCAACAAGAATTTCGATAGTTTCATTCAGGTTTCCAGCTTTGCAGGTCCAATTGCCGCTATCCTTAATCTTGATGCTGTGGAAGATGAGCGGTACCAGGCTGCTGGATAAAGTGTCGTTCTTGTGCCTTTCAACATACACCCTGGTATTCCTGGATGACCTTATTTCCACTACTTCGTCAGATGGTGACACCCAGTCTATCCTCTGAAGATAATTATGAATATTAATAGCTGATAATAATTGCAATTTTTAATAAAAAAAAATATGTTGAATGTAATTAAAATTTTGTTTAAAATATATTTAAATTAAGTAGTTTAAATAACACGGCATGCCATTAAAATTTCAAATGTTTCAGTAATTATGGTCTCAGATTTTTTTACCAGAAAAGAAAAAGGAATTTAAAAGCGATTTGGTATTAGCCATGTTAAAGTGATATTGATTTTCAGGTTGTGGGGTCAGATCTGAAACAGATCACGTAGCAGCTGAACGTGTTCGAGAAAAAATTAAAGTTGAGAACTGATCAATTTAGTTAACGACTAAGGTATTTAATATTCACATTTGGATTGATTTTGATAGTTTAATAGTTTAATTTGATTTGATCTCTACGTTAGTAATTAAAATAATAACAATTTTTATATTGAAATAATGTATGTAAACTGGATTTTAAAAGACTATATAACATGCCAAGTGTAAAAGACTTGGAATTAAAAGTACGAAAAAAGATAAAGCTAGATATTTTTAGCTTTTCTATTAGGATTTCATTTCAATTGAATTCGGATGAGAAAAATTTTAATTACTATTCAGTTACTGTGCTCTCATTCAAAGGCATTCTTTTTATAGCAATTCATTGAAACGGGAATCAGTCTACAGTCGAGTACTTCCAAGACTTAAATGTTCTATTGCCATTGTTTTGGTAATTTGTATAAAGTAATTAATATAATATTTGTTTCAAATATAGTTTGGCTTGAGTTAAAATATATGAAACTAAGACTAAGGTTTTAATACAGTGATATTTAATTAAATGTGATGCCTTAATATCGTGTTAATATAAAAACAACGGTATTAGGTATAACAACAACCTACTCCGGCAGTTTGCTCTGAAAATTTATTAGCCGCGGGTAATGTGACCTCAACAATTTGTGTACGAGAAAAGTTATCCACTATGTTCCGAACATATTCTCTTAAATATTAGCTTCACAAAATTATTGTATTGGGGTAAAAACTTGGTTGAAGAGAATTAATTTAAACTTAATTGGGTTTGCTGTTATTACCATTTAGCTAATTTAAATACTTGTAGCCAATTTAGTAATTAAAGTATAATTTTATAGCATCCTTGATTTGTAAGGAATAAAACATATTAAATTTTAAATAAAGAATGTTGATATTCAATTTGATAAAATAGAATTTTCTCGATTTCTTATTATGTTGACTTTTGATTTTTATATTTTCTTTTTAAAGTTCTTCATGGATTGTCTAGCCATTATTTTTTATTAATCAGTTTTGGTTACCTTATTATAAATATGAAGTATTTATGCCAGTAATATTTTACCTCTGGTAAATTAAGCCCCTTGCAGTAGATTGCTTTCTTTTCACCGACATTGAAAACCGATGATTTGGCCATTACGTGCAAGAATGGTGCTCCATCTTCCGTTTCAGCTGTCAGAGCTGAAATTATAAGCAATATATTCGTACTTTATTCAAACTTGTTGTGTATTATTCCTTAGATTATATTTAGACTTTGAATAAACAAAATACACACAACCTCTAAGAAACTTTTTCCTATACTAATCTGATAAATTACATAATATGTATATTTGTGTGAAATATGATTATTAAATTAGTTTTAAATGACCACATATCTTTTAACTGATATGCAGTAAATATTACTACAACAGACACGAAATGGCCACATAAGAGTGTCCTGGAGCCATCGGAATTGACAGTTTAATTTCCTCTTCTACCCTCATTTCGCACGTTACTATTTGCGGTGCAGTAAAAGAATGCCAAATGTGTTCGTTTACCATTATCTACATGATGTATTGCAACTACAGACAGCTTAGAATTCCGGAAGCACGCTATTAACGTACATACTTATTCCATTCTTAATATCTTACAGCTCAAGATCTGGAACAGCTATTGTCTCGTAAAGGCATAGAAAATTTTACTTTGCTTTCATCACAATAAGCAAGAATATACAAACATTTTATTTTCATATCAGAAAACATGATTCATTATAAAATATTTTACTGTAATTTTCCAAAGTTTGTTAGTCTGACTATATTTTAGATGATTCAATATTGTAACCACATCAGAGGATAATATTAGATTAAAAACTGATCATAAGCTTTAACCTGATCTCTAAAACCATTGAAATTCCTAACTGATTTAAAAGTTTTACGAAATTTCTCTATTAAATTTACGGATTTTTAATACTTTTTGTTAGTTATGTTGGTGTCTGTGAAAATTGGAAGTTTTTCATCTTGACACCGGATAAACATATATATTTGTAGCCTACTCATAATTTGTTACAAGATGTAAATAAAAACATTGTATATTTAAAAAATACAATGAAAAGTTTTGGATAAAAACTACCGTAAGATATTTAAATACTGGTAAGTAGCTTTGTGTTGTGAACTTAGCTGAATGTTTGTGTAAAGACATTAAGAACGTGAAAAGTGTCCCGAGTTGGAAGCGACGGTCACAAAGTGTACAACTTCATCGTAGTGTTGAGTGCCATCCATTAGAACTTCAGTACCGTATTGAAGATTTACTGATCCGCTTATTTACTGTTAGCGATCTAAAGCCTTAAGTAGAAAGGTCTTGACCTTAATCAATTTTATATGTTATTCAGAAATATTTATTTTATTTGTTTAGTTATCTTCTTCATTCTCCACAATAAAAAATCTGCTACTTTGTTGATTAAAGCCATTGGACATAGGACACTTTGTAAAAGACGTGAACAATTTTAACTACACTTCTGATGATATAGGAAAATTATCCAGACGACGAGAGCAGAACAGAGTTGGGTAAGCAAAAGATCCCTTGACACTTTCTTTGAAAGAAGATACAAAAATAGCTCCTGTCACAAAGTAAAGAAAAAGTTCCAAACGTTGCTGCTAGTAGCTAGTAAATTGAAGTAATTTGTGTAATAAAAGTAAGTCATTTGTAATTTGGACATAAATTCAATATATTATTTTGATGATTAAATATTTGAATTCAGTATTGTTCAGAAATAAAACAAATAATAATCATTATTGCCACAATATCGAAACCTAATTTAGGGGAAGCTTCTTATCCCAGCGTTTTCCGCATGAATCTGAATTTTAAATATTCCATCCACGTCTATGTATTTCAAATAAAACTCAACGTTTATCTTTATTATAAAAATTCGATGTATCTTTTCCTATTGTTTGCGGTAAAAATACAAAAAGACTAATATCCTTTATCTGTTCCAGTCAGCTTTATATAATAACCCCTTTACAAAAGTAAACAAAAGAAAGGCTATTGAAGATTTATTCATTAATTTAAGGATTATATTGAATTTGTCTAATCATCTTTGCTTGTTGTTCATAAATATAATTAATTTTCAATACTAATTGGTATATCTAAATTTAACGAACAGTATTATTGTATGAGAAAAATATTAATATTGTTATTTAGTGTTTTCTTGTTAAATATGTATAATCTGAGCAATTTTTCGTTTAAAGTTATTCCAATGTAGAATAAGAAAGTATTTTTTATTTGTTTTAAAACATAAAATAAATTTGAAAAACTTAATTTTTTACTACATTTACTTATCATAATTACATATATGTAACTTTAATTGAAATGTGCTAAGTTTTTTCAGTTTTAAATTTGTCACTCAATAAATAAATTTAGTGCTACTTATAAATATAAGATCGATAACAACAAACAAATGAAGAAAAAAATATAAACGTATATTCTTAGACACAAAATTCGTTACATAATATTCAATCAATGGGTTTAGAAGTAAAAATTTAATTTCGCATTATGTCCTTAAGATTGAAAATGTATTTATCAGTGCCGGTTTCTTTTATCGTCAGTCGCTAATGAAAGGTGGAACTTAATATAAAATAGAAATAATCCGAAATACTTTACACTTTTAAACGCTTCATCTAAATATTTTAATTGTAAAATACAATTTCTACTTTTCTCTCTTGTTAAGCCAGGGTATTTTATAATCCTAAATAATGACTGTATTAACTAGTAAGGTCTAAGAAACATTTTATTAATATGTAAGTAGCTGTTGGTCACATTGACGTTACAGCACGGAGTTTGGACCCTTTTTGGGTTGACTCTGAAGGACCTCTCCTCACCATACAAGGCTGCTCAATGGGCATAAATACATAATAAGACCCTCACCTTTGTCGGCGGAGACGCTGTAAGAATTTATATGGTCTTGTCTATCAATCATGATAATATAGTCACAATTTAAAAAAAAACGTTTAAGCCTTTCTCATGAATAGACTCGAATTTTGAGCTAAGGAGTAATTTATTGCATTTATAGCAAGAAAATATGGCACTTTTGTAAGGAAATGATCGGTGAACATAACATTCATATCCTGTTCTCAACAAGAAGACATTTTCCACTATATTCAAAATAATGTAAGTGAAAGAGATGTTCGTATTAAAAAAAACTACTTTATTTTAATTTCTAGTGAAGCGTCTAATATAATAATGAATAGTAATTTTTACAAAAAAAAATCGGCATAGGTGGACCTTTAACGTCACACTATCTTACTGTGTTGGCCTTAATCGTAGCTTTGAAAAAGAGAATTACGATTCGTTTTTTTTTGTTTTTTTTTATACAAATTTTTCCCTACAAGGTTGAGTATGAGTTTGGATGGTTGATAACTCCAAGGCTGTATTTCTATCTAAATTGCCTAAAACAAATTATTTTTATTTTTAAAACAACCAATCAGAAGCCAAAAATATTTATTCCAGCTGTTGACCACTACGGCTTATTTTAGTTTAAGACTAATGAGCTCTAAGTGAATATCCTGGTTTGTTAAACTATCGCACTTATTTCTGCTCTGACTTCTTTATCAGTTTTAATAATAAATCTTTCGATGAACATTTATTTCATGTAACAAGAAACTTCAATGTATTTTTTGATGCAAATAAATCTATCAACACAATCTAGTCGACACTTGTTAACGTGTTGACGACCCTAATAGGGTGACGTCAACATTGTTTTTGTCACAGTTTACGGAAACAACAGGCAAGTATACAATCCATAGCATTATACTTTGTAACATTGAATAAATATTACAAAAATTAATTAATATTCATTCGATTTCAACAATATTTTTTGTTTTTTTAATCGATGGAAATTCCCATGGAGAGTCCCATTTAAATTTAATTAGTAAATTATTACAAAAAGGAATAAAACACTCAGACTTGTTTTGTATTTCTATAGCTGAGGCACAACTGCATTTAGCTTTATATATTACTGTCATATTTTATTTACAGAAGAGAATAGCGCACTGGAAAATGACAAGTAGTGACGACAACAGCTATAGTTAATTATACAGTGCATTGTTTTCATCATTAATTATAGCGGACCTATATTTGTAACTACAGTATATGACACAAATGTACATTTTTTTATGTGCAAACTTAGTTCTTTTGACGATGATTTATTAACAATCATAATTATTTTATATTTTTGTATTAAAAATATTGAATGTGTTTATACTTTATTACTACATAATAGATTTTTATAAACAAATGTAGTAACATTATAATAAAATTAAAATAAGAAAGATTTCTTTAATAAATTGTAATTATGTTGAATGTTTCGAAAAAATAAGAATAATCTAATAAGAATAAAATAATAATATAAGTATGCTCAATTTATAAGAATAGCAACACCTTTTAGTGTAATCGTACAATTACTTTGTCTGTTGTAAAAAAAATTTAATCATTAGATATTATTTCATTTGAAAAACATAATTTCAGATGTATTGAAATATGTATATTAATATTAATGGTGCAGACAATGTCGGTTTAAGAACAATGCTTTTGAAGGTCACTTAAATAAATACAGAAGCGTTTTGAATTGAATCCAAAGATAAAGCGGTATGGATGAGAAGCTCTTTAGTACTTGTTCTGTTTGCAAAGATGAAGAATGTCTCTGATGAATGAGGGTCGTATACATTCAATCAAATAGAGCCTATTCAGAACTTCGTGCGTCTCCTTACACTTTGATATTGGATACTTAATAAAAGTACCGTATCTGTTAATTTGATTTGACTCCTTTTTTTGTACATCCGTTTCTTAATTAAATCTATAGTCGATTAATCAAGTACAAACTTTTTATTGAACATTACATTTGCATAAGAGGGGAAAATTTGAAAAGAAATGGATTAAAAATCACAATTTTAATTATTAAACATAACATCTTTGTCATTGTAATTTATTTTCAACGGCATATGAAGTCGTTGACAAGCATAGCTATTATTAGCTTCAATAGCCGAGATAAAAAAAACAAGAAACAAAACAATGGAAAGAGCTTGTTTATATAATTAGAGAAATCTAGGATAATATTTATAATCCTCTTTATTGAAATTGATAAATTATCATATGTTCCTGATTATGTATTATTATTTTCTTATGATTTTCTTTCCTAAACTTTTTGTTGCTTTAGTTATTCTAAAAGGTAAATATTACATTGCCACTTACACTCTTATTTTTTATGTTATGGCTTGAAATATCAACGTTTTTATTTGTTGAACGAATTACAATCTTGAGTACTGTTTACTCTTATCTTTTAATCTAATGATAGATGACATCCATTTGAGTTTTGCAAGAGCTTACTGAATAATTGTCGGTAACTGACGTAATTACGAAAACGCGAAGGTGCCGACTAATACCTGTCATGATGATTTATGAACAGTGTTTTATTGGTTGTTAAGACACTTGTCGAGTGTAACGTTTGATAAATATCTATTTCAAATAATATATTTGTTTTTCAAATTCATTTAAGAAAATTATAACCGTAATGTTTTGATTATCGTATCCGTATTATACAAGGTTTGAACTTTTAAAAATTAAATGTCATTTTTATTTATTGTATAAAATAAAGAAAATGAAAAAAAAAAAATTTTTTTTATGTGAAAGGTGGCAAACGAGCAGACGGCCCACTTAATGGAAGGTGGTTACCGTCGCCCATGGACATCCGCAACACATTTGTTACGGATGCGTTGCCAACCTTGTTTTTTATGGATAGGGAGGGATGGGAATAAGGGAATGATAGGAAAGGGGTAGGAATAGGGAAAAGGCAACCGGCTCTCTCACTCATCGGACGAAACGCAGCCATTAAAGGCTACTTCACGCCGATCTTCTGTGAGAGGGTGGTACTTCCTCGGTCGAGCCAGCCCATGTTCGAGCTGTAGTAACTGACCACAGCTAGGCTCTACCACCTATTAAAACCTACCACCTATTAAAATATAGATTATATGTAATAAAAAAGTTAAGACTTATTATTAACCCCTTTATTGAAAAATAAGAATTGATTTAGAGATATTTCTACATAATAGAACAGGTTTGAATAGATTTGAATTTTATTTATATTTCAAAGAATCATATTTTTATATTTGTGACAAATATGATAAATACATATTCAAAGTTTTTTTTTTACTTACAAACATTTTTTAAAAATATGATCATAAATCCTTTAAATTAAATAATCGGTTCCTTACAATTATTTTAGAAACAA